CTACAGATATTGAGTTGTTTGTGCATAGCGTGTGTCAGATCCGAGAGGATGACTGTCCCCATCTTGATTACCCCTTTTACGCCAGTCATAGTGATCTAGCTTATTAGGTGTTTCAAGTCATGATCCCATTTATGTGGCAAAAGTTAGGAGAAGAGGAGGCGTCGAATCTGAGCGTAGTGTCATCTGTTCAAGCTTCCAAGAAAACACGGGGGTAAGGCGTAATGCAAGTGTGAGCGAATGGAATGAGACCAGTTTTAGTTACAAAGATCGTTTTTAGCCATCTGCGAAAAACGAGCTATTTTCCTTCTCCGTTTCACGAAGTTCTACTCATTTATCTACGTCAGAACGATGAAAGGACGAATGATCGAATTGAGGCTGAAAATCACCACCTTTCGAATGTGAGTCCGATGTTTTACCGACTGGGCTATTCATGCCACAGAGCACAGGCCATAGCAGCAGAGCCCCACGTCGCGTCTTCCGGTCTTTCACGTACTTTCTCGAATTTTACGCATCATTCCTTCCATGGAGAAAATATGGAGGACGATCGCCAATTTTTACGGTCAGATGTTCATTCAAATTTTTATGCACCTCTGTGGTAAAAGGCAACGGGATCCATGTCGATTCTGATAACAGTTTTTTAATAGTCTGTCATTTCGTGATTCATCACTTACTGTCATAGCTACAATAGCTACTCATGAGTAAGAATTCCGATGTATATCATGCGATCTCGTGTTTTGGCTGTTACTTGTTCTTCGCCGGCTCTGTCCTCCCAAATGGATCCATGCGTGTTGCGCTTGTTCAGATAATCACGTTGAGTCAGGCCGCTTGCGTAAGTGGAACGTCCTTAGTTTGTGAAGTTCCCTCTCTCCGCAACTTTTCAGTATGTTTGCTACTAGACATCGGTTACTGCATCAGAAAAGAAACAGTTTCTCTCCTAAAACAAATATACCTCTACCTTGTTACTCAGTGTTGCATGCGGGCCTCCTCATCAGATCGCATACGAGAGCTCATGGGCTGGAGCAAATGGCTTATGCATTTATCTAACAGGGCCAACCTCTCTTTATTAATCTCTACATCTACTAAGAGCTACATGTGCCAGAAAGAGAATAGATTCGTTCCTTACGTTGTCTCAGCTTAACTTTGATTATGCATCGAAGTCAGCGTTGTTTAGATTGTCAGACAGTCGTTCTTGGTTCATCCTTCATCCTTCAGAAGGCTGCATCCGTGCCGCAGAACGGCGCTGACCTGATCGCGACAAGGTACAGGCAAATTGTTGCCCATAGGCTTACTCTTATCTCGGCAAGATTTTACGACGGGTTCATTGCAGGCGTTGAAGTTGGCCAACCTCGTCTGTGGGCTCATTTCCCTGTTACACATGCAGGTCTACTTTGTCGGGTTGTTCCTCATAAGGTTAAGCTCCTGGACATTAAGGAGGAGGCCGATTTTCGTAGCTGTGTTGCATATGGAGCCTGTTATGACAAATAACGTGTTTTGTAACGGTGTAGTGTATCTTCAAAAGTGCCTTCATCGTAGACGCTAACTTTACCTGTAACTCCCCAGATTGTCCACTGCATTAATTTTAATTACATACTGACATGTGTAAAGCATCAAGTAGGTTTTATTATTATGGAGCAAACAAACCCTGGTCAACAAAGTGCCACGAGGAAGTCTGATGTTGCCTTGTTGCTCATTTGATCGATTTGTTGAGGTAGCTACCACTTCCCTGCGAAAGACCTGCTGTCGGCTTTTGTGAATAGGAAAAAAACGGATCGATATATCCTTCTGAGCGGATCCTTTGTTAGTGACCACTACCTCCTCGCGTGCTGACAAAATCTGTTTTGTTTACTCGATACTTCAGTCGATCTACGGTTGAGGCTGCCTCCAAAGCTGAGCGCAAATTGGCTGAATTAGTCGTGCTAATTAAGCGCATCAGCCATCGTTCGATTGTTGGTCCTCGTCTTAAATTAGCTATGTCAGCCTGTGGAATCGGTGATGCACGTATAGCCACCAGT